TTTGTATTCCTAACACTATAGTGTTCCTTTAATTTACATTTCTACCGTAACTACATATTATTTTCTGAAAAAACCCATAATATTTTGATAATATGGATATAGAGTAGCATAATTTTTTTATAGGACTGACGTTATATATTAAAATGCAATTGAAAGTTTCCTCTTTTCTTCAGAAAAGCAATACCGGAGTATTCTTTTAGTATGCATTGTTATTCCAATAAAGAATATATCACTATATGTTGCAATCCAATAATACAATATAGACTGCAATACAATTGTTCTTTGAATTACTGCAGTTATGCAGGGACCCAAGCTATATGCTTAGATGCTCAGGTGCCGTCTCTTGTCTCTAAATAAGGGGTATGCAATCTTTGGCACTCCAGATGGCGCAGACTGCATCTCCCATAATTCTCTTACAGCCATAATTCTGGCAATGTATCAATGGAGATGCAGTCCACAATATCTGGAGTGCCGAAGGTTGCCTAGCCCTGATATATTACAGGTTAAAGAGATAACTCACGGATCATCTGACAAAGTTAAGCTGCCTTTGTTGTAGACAAGTAGAGCATTCATTATTTAGTTCTCACTTCAGGACTTTTATAGGGTCTAGGTTTCAGGTTACTTGTGCGTTGTTCTTGTAGTTAGTGTGTGTGTCTGTGTATTGTGACTGGGTAGTTTATGTATGTAACGGATCGACGGGCACCCCGACTGGGTACCGCTGTTGATGGATGCTCCTAGCGCTTCCTGAGGGCTCCAAACACTCCAGCCGACACCATAACCACCGTAGACTCCTCCAGAGAGTAAGGTAGGAACAAGCTCTTACAAGAGCTTAGTAGTGATTTAGCAAGGGAGTATGACAAGCATCCCTTGTAGCAGATTCCCCCAATAAGAGACGGCACTCCAAATTGAGGTTGAAGTAGAACTGCCAGAGCTGTGGGTTTATTGTTCTTATATACACATTCTTACACATTAGTAACACCCACAGGGTTTTGTAAAACAACCAATAAACACGTACAATACACTCAGACACTCCCATACAAAACCCTCCCCTCTGCCTGTGATACAATCACCTTACACAATGGGTTAATATAATTATCACAGGCAGGAAAATACACAGTTTTACACAATATTCATAACTTTAAAAGTATGCATCACATTCACATACATTTTCAGAATCAGCATACTCCAAATACCAACATACGTCAAAATCATACAAATTGGTCCAGTGGGTCAAAAGTTAGATCAACGTCCTTTGTGACCAAATGAAGCATGGCTTTTCTGCCCAAAACCAGTTGCACAGAGTCTTCTATCCTGAAGATATTTGGGAAGTAATACAATTATCCCCAAGGACAGAGGCAAAACTCCATTAGCCACATGGTAGCAAAATACAATAAAATACATAAAAATATATAACAGTGCAGTCATTGAAACAAGTACCTTCATATCCCTAGATAGCTTAGATCTGAGCGCACATTATTACTGAATGGCGCTCAGATCACATACATACAGTTCAATTGCCATGGAGCCAAAGTCTTTCACACAGTCTTTCGTTATACGAATAGGCTCCATGGCATAGCTATCTGGGGTAATACTGATCACATAGGGAAAGTACCGAATGACCCGGCTTTTGGGTCTTTGCAGGGGAAAATCAAGCATTTCAATATGGGGCCATAGTCACAGGGTAGGAGGCTGGCAATCAGTCTTCTCCAATGCCCAGTGGCGGGGCTGGTTCTGCCACAATGCATTACCCCTTACTCCTCCCCCCTTTTGCTCCCCCCCCCTTGACAGGCACACGCACAGACACACATACATTCAGACACACATACATACACAAAGACACATACATACAGACACATACATACATAGAGACACATACTTACATACATACACACACACATATATACACACAGATAGACACACACAAGACACACATACATACAAAGACACATACATACATACATACAGACAGACACAAACACAGACACAGACACAGACAGACAGACAGACAGACAAACAGACACACACACATGTAGACACACATACATGAAGACAGACAGACACACACATACAAAGACACATACATACATACACACCGGCACATACATACAGACAGACATACACACACACAGACACATACACACATACAGACACACACACATACAAGACATACATACATACAAAGATACATACATACATACAAACAGACAGGCACACATACAGACAGACACATTTACAGACAGACACACACACACATACGCACAGACACATACAGACAGACATACACATATACAGACAGACAGACACACAGACATAGACACACACAGACACATACATACAGACACACACAGAGACAGACACACATACATACAAACAAACACACACATATACAAAATATTTTAGTAACCCTCCTGTTTCCTACCTTTTAGGTCCAGGAGGGTGACTTTCTCTGGGGTCCAGTGGCGGCTCAGGCTGGTGGGAGTCAGAGTTCCCACTCTGACTCCCTCCTCTCTTCCTCCCGCGCGGGCTCTGTGCGATTGCTGAGAGGAGTGACCGGGACAGTCACTTCCTCCCAGCATGTGATCTCATCACAGGGGGCATGGTCGTGCTGTTAAAGCGCCAAGCGCTGACCGTGCTCCCTGAAAATCCATCTCCATCAGGTGGCCCTAAGAACATGGGCCACCCGATGGACCCCTTGAACGCAACCCCAGCAGTTTGCCGTGCGAGCCGGGGCCGCAAAACATGTTGTAGGGGTCCACAGGGCGGCTGGGCCCCTTGAAATGATGGGCACGGTCGCAGCTGAACCCCTGCGACCCCTATACGTACGCCAGTGACTACCAGCACTCACTACAGAAAAATTAACCAGTAGTCACCACATCAGTATGGCTTATTTTCAGTGAGGCAATATTTGGGCACAGCTCTGATCTTGTCATATCTTACTATTCTAATATAAGCAGGGCTCAAAGGTCCTTGAGCATTTCCTAAACTTGGGATGTAAGGTTTGTTCTTCTCCTCTGTTTATATTTTAAAACTGTCACTCAGTACCAGAGCTATGATTTTTGAGTATAATCTTTTGGAATGTCTACATGATGACAGAAGTTGTGATGAGCACCTTGCCTTTTTGTTTATCTGTTTTAATGATATTGATATCCTATGCTGGTAGCACCGTACTTACATGCTGGTTATCACAGAAACAGTTAAGAACCATAGATGTTCACCCTGAGGCATAGTGTTTATATCAGTATTTATGCATAGTTATTGTTGGTATTTTTTTTGCATCATTTGGCTCTTTTAATTAGTTTCTGTTGTCATGTGCGCTCAGGCATCCCAGACCAACAGTGGATAGTTTAATTTCAAGATTTGTCTGCTTCTAGTCTTATCAACATTGCATCCAATATGCAGCCTTATTATTAACAGCGTACTCTTGGCCATTAATATTAGGCACCTGGGGCTATAATTTTACTTATCTCCTAGTCTGTGGGGCATGGTAACATTAACGCTATGCAGGCCCATAGCTCTTCTTTGAAAAACAAATTAAATTATGTTACAAGGCAATTTTATTTGCAAGAAATATTATATATTACATTGGCAGATTTACTCTTATATTAATATTTAGGAATTCAAGCCCATCAGATTGTAAATCCCTTCATGTACAGCATCCTCTTTCTTATCCAACATCTGCTAAATGACCATATCCTGTATGCTCCTAGATATTCTTGGTTATAAATTGCAGACTCTAAAAATAACTAATAAAGTAACTCTCATGGTTATTTACTAAAATGTCAGAAATTCATTTTAAATTTAGGCCAAAGTAGCTAAACTGAAAAAAATCTCCCAGGCAGTGTGGTTACTTTGAATGTACTTTGAATTTCTGGCAATTTTCACTTTAGTGAATAACATTGACTATATATAACTGATGGTAAGCTCTGTGGTTAGTGCTCCAACAGCATTGTATCTACTATCCATTGAAACAAAGTTGACTTCCCGAGTGGGCACATTGTGAAGATAAAAAGTGGATAGCATAACTTTGAGTAATACTATTAAATTGCATAATAATATTAAATTGAGTTATAATAATATCTATACCGTTTAATATATTTGGAAAATAGCTAAAGCTCAAGGTTTGCCTCTTAATTTGATATTATTAAAATATCCATAAATAAAAATATTCATATATAGTGCATATAATATGTAAAAGTTTCCACAAATACTAATATGTCCACATTTTCTCTAATCACAGATATCCTCTTTAAAACGTATGTGCATCTGGTACTTATGTTTCATGTTACTTCTGATATAGAATCAGGTGGTGCCTCTGTTCCATCTGTAGCCTAAAGAGTATGAATGGTCCCTGCTGCTATTATTCCTTTAAATTCTCACTGTCAGCGGATTGGTGATTTTTTTACCACCAATGGACAGTGGATGATCAGGACATTTTAAGCCCTGTCTTAGTAGTTTGTTTTCCAGAAATATTCCAAAAAAATATCAAAGGCAAATTAAATTTTTTTATTCAATATTCCCTAAAGTTGGTACTGATGTGTTACTCAACCAATTCTTTTGAAGGTACCTCCCTAGTAGTTATTAACATAAATTGCCTGGCCAAAAGGGAGGAAGACATTTCACAACACTTCTCATTTAGCTTTCTTATTTTATTTGTAGAGAAAAATGAGGGGAAACAAAAAGTAGATAGAACTATTAATAAATAATCACTACTTGAAGATTAATTTTAAAACATTATTTATTTTTTTACATGAAAGAATAATAACAATGATGATTGAAAGACAAACAAAAAATTCTATGCATAATGGATAAGAGTCAAATTCAGATCATCTCAACAGAATATGTCCTGTAGATGTAACCCTGGAAACAACTAGTCCATATTTATTTGAATTCAAGATGTGATGAATTGACAACTGAATTTTAACATTTAGACTAAACTTAGAAAAATTGTTGGATAAAAGCAAACTCTTTAGTGAACGCACCCTCTATAATATCTTAAAAGCTGAATATTTGAAAACGAAACAATATTTTAGAAAAATGGTTTAGTGGTCATTATGAAACAATATTTGTTGCCCTTTGAAATTCCACATTGGTGTACAGTTGTGTGTGTGTGTCTGTGTGTGTGTGTGTGTGTATGTTCTTCACTGCCTCTCAAATTTCAAAAGTTAACACAATGTTTCTGTTTCGAATGTTTGCGCATGAGGTAGCAAACCAGATACCAGTTAAAGCAACTTAGAATTACCATATCTTCCCAAAGAAAGCTGCAGGCTATAAATTGTGAACTCACAGGAAAACTATGAATACTCCAAGCCTTGTTCTGGATCCACAGAAATGTTCACCTCCATTATTTTAGACGGTGATAAACTACACCAACGTAAATGTGGTCTGAGCGTTATCGAAAGAACATCTGTCTTCCAGCGGATGCTGGTGCCTCATAATTTCAAATAAACGTCATCCTCTTTGCTTGAAGAAATGCTTTTGATTATTTGCTTAGAACAATTAGTGTGGCTTACATTTCAATGACAACAGTTGTTTCAGAAGCATGGAAGCATTTTCTTTTCGTTTTGGAAATGCTGTAATCACAGAACTGAAATAGCAGTGTAGTTTTGGCAGAAACCATAAAGATAATCTTTCACGTTAGCCCTTGAATATTTCAACACATTCAGTTGGATTGATATTACGGATTGTATGATCACATAGGATTACCTTACAGAAGCAGGACTATTGCCTGTAGTGGAGAGTAGGTCATACTCTTTGGCTTGGCTCACCTTTTCCACAACAGCAGAAGTGGGAAAATGCACAGTTGTTACACACTTATAGTCATGTGACACATAAACAACTTCCTAAGCCAATGTATAATAAAACTTACATTACAAATGCTAATGGCTCTATTCACTGAACGGCTATAGTGAGACAACAAGTGACTTGGAAATACAACCAAAACAGATCATTTAGAAAATATTGCTAATTCTAGCAACATGGGAATTTTTCGAACTCTGTCAATCTGTAGTAAACACACCACAATGATATTTTCAGAGAATAAAACTCTAAGAAAGTTTAAATCAGTCTGAAATGTCCATGAACATCTAACTCTAGTTACTTAGGACAATACACATCTATGCATTAAAGGATACTTCAAAGATTTGTTATGGCTTACAAAATAAAAGAGGCAATGTGAAAGGGAAGTGTATCAGTCATCTCCAAGAAAAAAACATATTTTATTTTGGTCACGAGAATGCAGCTATACAATTTTAACCAATTGTATTCTATAATCATTAGTGTAGGTAGGTACTGGTGTGTTACTCAACCATTTTTATTGTTTTTTACACCTCACATTTAGATTTCTTATTTCATTTTTTAGAGGAACAAAAAAAGGGGGAAGCAAATAGTAGATAGAGCAGTTAATAAATAATCACCACTTGAAGATTAATTAAACAAATTATTATTATATTTACATGAAAGAACAATAACATTGTCGATTCAAAGGCAAAAAAATAAATACCATGCATAGTGGATAAAATTCAAAATATGGATCATCTCAACAGAAAAGGTCCTGCAGTTAGACTGGAAACAAGTAGTCAATTTGTGTTTGAATGCAGGATGGATAAATGATAAATTACACAACTTCTGGGAACAATGGAGAAAAGTTCGTAAAAACCACAGCATCCTTGCATGGGCAGCCTTGGTTATTGTCTTGCAGTGTTGTCTGCCATTCAGGCTACATGTCTGCTGGTTGCACCCCACCAGCTGTGCATATAAGCAGTAATAATAGTCATTAATAGCCGCTGCCTGGACCAATAACCTCCTTCCTGAGTTTATATCTAACAATTATGAGAGGCATGCTGGTGTTAGAAATCCCATAATGCTTTGCCACTCTATAGACTATTGGCTAGCCCTGATCTAGCATGTGACATGTTTATACATCGTTTGCCTTAACAAAACAGCTGCAGACTGAAACACAACGAGGATCAGAAAGTTGCCTTACCGCATTAGTACAACAATATACCTTTCTGTCTGGACACCCATGGGGAAGTGTTTTATTTTACTTTAATTTTAACCAATTATTAAAATGTTTTATTAGGCCTGAGAGTTTAATTGCTCAGACCCAGGAATACAGAACCTGTCCAGCTTGCGCTTTCCCCAAACCAATAACAATAATTAAAATAGAGTACTGATACATTAAACTGCTTGTCTTTTTGTCCATGTATTTCGGTTCAACTTGTTCTTATTTTCCCCATGTATTTACACGTAAGAATTTATAATTCCCTCTAGAGTCTCTGAATATACAGTAAAAGTAATGCTGTAGAGGGTTAGGCAACCAGCCAACATTAACTAGCTCCCAGAGCAACGGCGGTATGCAGAAAGCTGTATAACAAAGCATTGAAATTACATCTTTTGCAATTTCTCAGATTCAGCTCATATTCAAAAGTCCCTGGTATGTGTACAATATTATATATTGACCTCATTTAAAGGAGCAGTTTAGAAACTGTGAGCACTTTTGGGCAATGCAGTGGTTATGGTGTAATTAAACTTTAGCCATAATTTCTGGTCAAACCATTACCCCCTCCGCAGCCACCTTGATAATGCAGAAATGACACTTCAACATTATCACACTCCAACCAGCCTCATGTCTATCATGAATGTGCACAGTTTTCAGTAACTTCTACTTCACCCATGGTGGCTGTTTAGGGAGCTGACTAGAGTGTGCTAAGGTAGGTAATGATTCTATATCTTATGAGCTACAAATTGTTTATGTCCAAGAGTGTATGCAACGCACCTTGAATTCAATGAATAAGATTCGTTAATTGCATAGGTAGCTATTATTTTTTTTTAAATTGCTGATAGGACAGTAAACATAACCTATTAGTGAAAAATGATTGCCTATTTAGAAAGACCCCTAAAAGGAGCATTGATAATTATTTATTTCTGAAGAAGAAAGTAGCTGGAGAAGCAGCAATCCTATGTGTGGTTATGCAGGTAACTATAAGGTTGAAGACTGTACCTAGCTATATATGCAGCTGTTTTGCAAAGTAAGAAGTATACCAAGGGTCCTGGGCAGTGCTCTCACCATCGTCCCAAAACAGGACCATTCCTAGGTGGGTTTTATACCCCACGTCCAATAGACTGTAAGCTTGTTTGAGCAGGGTCGTTCCTGTAAGTTTTCCTATCGTTCCTGTAAGTTTTCTTGTAATTGTCCTATTTATAGTTAAATCCCCCCTTTCATAAAACGATACGGAATCTGTTGGCGCTATATAAATGGCAATGATAAATAAATAGATACTATATTACATAGTACACATGTTCTATGAATTCTACTGTAGTTTGATTTCTAATTGCTGAGACTTGCATTTTGGCTAAATGTACTTTTGCTGAATATTTTGCAATTTTTTTTCTTTTTTTTATAATAATGAGAAAAAAGATAACTGTAACAAAAAGCAACAAACAAACCAAACGGAAAAAAAAACCCATAAAGCAACATATAACCAAATACAGAATATCAACTAGTCCACCAAGTTGAAAAGCGAGGTGATTAGTTTACATTCTGAACATTATAACTGTTTGTTCCTAAAAAAAATTCTTAATGTAATGTTCAAATATGCACATTTACTGTACATGAAGAATATATTAAGGGAAGTAGTAAAATATTCAGTATACCCCAACAGGAATGAATGGGCAAGGATGGAAATGATGTATATATGCCATATATGCTAAGCACAACCAAAAGATTTACAAGTGCCTATGAAAGATATTATGGAGAAGGCTGAAACGGTAACACATACATTCAGAATAATAATTCCTTTTCATATAATTCTGGTGTGACAGTTTGCCAAGTAACAGCAAGGAATGGATGTATAAGGAGTGGACATGGTATTCATCCTGTGTTCTTGTGGAACCTGGAGGTCTCTGGCATCCGCTCAATGAGAACCTTGTTCAATAATATATCATAACAGATGTTAAAAAAATGCTTACTGGAAAAAGAAGGCATGATTAAAATTGGAGAACAGAACAGTTATGTGTGAAAGCGCTACTTTCGGGAAAGGGTAGTAGGTACCAGTGATTGCACGCAAGCCATAGTATTTGGTCCAAACACTTTTAATGAAATGAAAATAATATTCCTAAAAAAGTTTTAAAAAATTATTATTTTTTTTGTTAACTAGGAGAATGGTCCAGTGGTCTTGTTACTATTTAATTTAACTTAATTTAATTATTATTATACTATTATATAAATGTTTATGTATAAATGTTAGGTTGCTTAATGTATTTAATGTTAAGTTAGACCTGTTATGCTTTTTTGAGTGGTAGGACTCATACATTTCTTCTATTACTTGTGTTTATATTATATTATGTGTTAATTAATTATGTCTAATTTTCAAGTTCTGGATATGTAAACATAGTGAATATTTAAAATTGGATGTTTACTGAATTTGCGAAAAGTCATATGACTGCCTCGATCCATAACATGACTGGGAGCTTAAGTAAGTCAATAGTCCATGTAGGAGGAGTGTATATGTACTGTATAGTTGTATAATTAATATTCTAGCTAGTGTTTCAGAAAGAAGGGCTATAAAATTAATAGCATTTAAATGTACTTTTAAAAATGAGACACATTAAAAAAATATGTACAATGAAATAGATTAATACCACTATGCAAAATACAAAATACAAAACAAAAACCTCACATATAGTGAAATGTATTTCTATAATATGAAAACTAATATATCATGAGTGTTATGGATGTAGGGTATGTCAAAAATGTTATTCCCAGTAAAGCTATGAAAGGGGCATCACAGGGCTCATGGAGAAAGATAAGAGAAAAATTACTATAGAAAAGTTTTTATAGATCTGAATTAAAGTATGGGTCCCCTTGGCACAGAAATAGAGCGAACTAGATATTGACATCAAAAAAAGAAATCAAAGGTACTGAACACTCCAGGGGGACCTTTTTGGAAGCTGGTATAACATGAGGGATGGTGCATATGAGTGGGTCAAAACTGAAAGCTTTGTAGGGGTATTAAAATAAAACATTGTCATTTGAGAGCAAGGCCATTTCCTCCATAAGATGTGTGTCTATCAACATAAGCTAATGATTCTTACAAAGTAGGTGCCAAGGGATTTTTCCAATCAATCATATTGAGTTGCTGTATTTAATATACAGACTTCT